TCTCATGAACTTCCAAATATCATGAAGATAACTGCGGAATCTTGTTTTCTACTTATAGTTACCTGACAAGATAAAACTTTGCTTTGTCTTGTTACTTTTCAGCTCCCACAGTGTAGCAGAGGCAGACAAAACTTCCAAGTCTTGCTTCTGTCAACCCTCCAACAAAAGTAAGACTTTCAAACGCTGCGTACGCTTAATCATTCTGACTTCAGTGCTGTCTTTTTTTTTTTTTTTTTTTTTTTTTTTTTTTCTTCTTGCTGCATTGGTGAACCAGTGGGACATGAACTAATTATACTTTTCAGGGACAGTGGACAATGATTATGGATTGTTGAATATGTTCCAGTGTTTCTAGGGGCTTCCACATAACTTGAATGTTTACTCTTGGCTCCAGCTTGCCAGGCTCTTCTCTGTGCAGAGCATTTTGTTTAATAGAGCTTTGGATATCAAAAGGAGGAGTATAGCAAGGCTTTTGGTGAATGAACAGAGCTTTTGAGCAGAGGCTTATTTGTGCTGCTATTGCAAAAAGAACAATGTTAATATTAGATGGCTGAACCAGAGTATCCCCAAGGAGATGGTGTGAAGTAGAAGAATTTGAGAAAGCCATAGAATTTTTAGGCTTGATACCTTAATAGTAATGTTGTGTAACTTTGTGGTGAGTTGGGATGGTTCTTTGTGTGTTATCTGTAAAAGCAAAGAAATGAGTAATTCTATTGAAATGGAGTTTAAGATGTATCATGAAATTTGAGCAGTAGCATTTTCTGAATCAGCTCTGCATTTCTAATTTGAGTATGGAGTAGTTAGAGAGGTGTTTTGAAATACATGCGCTTTGGCATATAAAATTCAAATATCTCAAAGCAGATATTGTTCTGAATTTTTACTTCTTTTGAAAATTAATTCCTTGGGTTTTTTTTCCTCAGTCAGCTTGTATTAGAAAACCAGGAAGAAAATTTGGTGTTCAGTAGAGTGAGTAATTGTTTAAAGCTTGGTTTTGTGCACATTTATAGGCCCTTTACTGACTTTCTGCATGTTTTTTCCCCATGTCCTGCGAGTAGTGGCTGGGCCAGAGTCAACACATGCTGTGAATAACTGTGTGCTAGTTTTAATTTGTTCAGGTGTCCTGGCTGGGCAGCTGTCAGGCCAGACAGAACATAGAACTGAAGCTCATGTTGAAGTATTGGCAACTGAAGTTGCCAATTTGATTTGATTTTTTTTTTTTACATTTCCACTATTTTTTAATTTTATTACTGTTAATCTTTTAGCATCTTAAGTGCTGTCATATTCAGATAGTAGATTTAAAAGCTGTGGTTAGAGGGGAATAATCAGGGTACCAAAAATGCAAATGCTGAGTCATCATTCCCACCATAATTCAACAGCAAGTTGTATGGCATAAATTTAATTGATCTTTATCATAAGAGGAGCTTTTAAGTAGCTTTGAAATAAAATATGTGGTGGCTTGATCAGTAAAAATATTCATATTTCTCACAGAAAACTTTTATTTGCACAAAATCCAGTACTGTTAATGACTTATTTTAAGGCTATGGAAAGACAACTATTTAAAAGAAAAAATGGAGTGACATGTGAGTTCTGTCTCTGACAGTAGTATTTTTAAATGTTAATTTCCAATGTTGATTTCATGTTACGGTATTGCACAGCACACTGTCATTTTCTTTTTTTGTACATAGTGGAATATTGTGTGGTATGGCTTGCTTGAAGCATAATCAATGCAGTATTGTTGATCCCTGTCGAGTCAGATGATAGTAACAAAAGTGAAGCTAGAAAGAGCATACAGGTCACCAGCAAACAAGGAAAGACAACGGGCCATTTATTGTGTTCTCAATGCTTGCTTGGAATGGCTGCTGATGTTCAAAGCATTGTGTGGTACTTCATACAGAAATAGAACTGTGCCTTTTAATAGTTTCTTGTATGATATTAAAGCTTTAAAATTTGGCTTTCTAAAGGACTTGTCTGTATTTTAAGACTTTTAAGAAATTATACTTTCTCTGAGAACTCTGTAGGTGAAGAAAGTTATGTTAAACTTATTTTGCATCTCTGGTATGGTAAAGTAAATGTTTTAACTTGTGTCTGCATAGGTACTGCTGTCAAACTCTGAAATGAGAACTTATTCTTGCTGAAGTGTATGCAGCTAAGTCAAGGTTCTTCTGCTTGGTGGTTGTATATTGCCCATTAGTAATACAGTTCTCTCTGCTATCAGTAACAGAGAAACAATAAAAAGTGCTTGGCAGGGTTAATTAAATAAGTTATAATAGTGACTTAAGGCATATTTCAGTTGTCACTGCTTTTGTGTTAAGTATTTAGAAGAAATAAGTTCCTCCAGGACATGCTTTTGGAAACCTGCTTTTTGAAGGTTTGCAAAAATTGCAATGCAGTGCAAACATTGACACCTTTAGGAAGCTTACATCATTTTAATCCAATGCTGTGTTTGGACAGCACAGTCTTCCTTCATACCTGTTTGCATATTCATAGAACTGTTATCTACTATAGCTGCATAGCTGTTAAATGGTCTGAAGTGACACAGGACCTTGTTTTCTGATTTATTCTAGCAATCACCTATGGTGTTCAGGAAGGCTTGATACTATTTGACACTGAGTTGGTTGGTTTTATGGTTTTTTTTGCCTCCCTCTGAATGCTTAAGCATTCAGGGTGAAGACGAAGCAGGCAACTGGGCGGGAGAAAGGTGGGAAAACTGGATTGTGGTTTGACTGTTGCAGTGAGTTGATCTCAGTACAGGTTTCAGTGGTACTACTGACATGGTAATTATGATGAGTTTCTTTGATCTGACTTGGTTTGGGTGGGAGGAGGAGGAGGAGTAATCTAGTGGTCTGATTATGGGTGGGGAAGAGGACCTCTTTCATTCACTAGCACATCCTGGGCTGGATGCAAAAATCATGGTACAGCCCTGAGTGTTACTCTGCTAGGTGCAGGGTCAAATAGGGGCTATTCTAACACTTGTCTTTCTGCTTGTCTGAAGTTAGCCACAACTTTTTCTTTTCTTCAGTGTTTCCTGGTGTACCTCCCAGTATTGAAGATGTTGGGGGGAGGGAGGGTGTGTGTGGTGTGCCAGGGTGGAATCAGACTGTGTAGATTTGGACTCCACCAACTCCTGCTGCCAGGTGTTCTGTAACTAGCCATGAACAGGACTTCTCTTCCTCCTAGCAATCATAGGACTACTAGTTGATACAGTTTTTACTCAGAAATCTAAGTATAGGAATACTACTGGTGGCTCACATCAGACTATCCACTGCAGATGTTTAAAGTTATACCCATAAATGTTCTGACTTTATAAATTTTGTCAGCAAAAAGTTGTGCTTATGTGAAAGACTGCTACTATTAAAATAGTGCTTCATGCTGTTGGCTATTGTTTTGGAACAGACTTGTGACTTTTTTGACTAAGTTTATCTATTCTGACTTTGTATGAAGAAGTATTAAATACCTTCAGTTTCATTTCACCTACTACCGTGCTGCAAATAATGACTGTTAAATTTGCGAACTCAGATCACTGTGTTGAGCTTGACCCTTTTGTAGCGCACAGTTGCTGAATGAATGCTGAATAGCTGAGTTTATTTGAAGTAGGAACTACTGTTCTTATTTTTAGATGAGTATTTAAATCACTAATTTAGAGCTATCCTTTGAGCATTGGATCTGTTTCCTGTTGTTTGTCTCTATCTGGTAGAAAACAATAAGGACCGCGGAGTTTGGTTATGCCAGCAGGCTATACACTGTCTGTCTAATCTCTCTCATCTTGAGCAATCTTTGAAATTACCTATAAGATTTATCACATTTGATAACTAGTGTTCCCAAAGATGCTAAGTTGCTACAATTCTCATGAAGTTAGCTGGCCAGATAAAGAAGAAGAACCCCTCCTCAAATAAATTAGTGCCTCTCTGGGGAAGATGATGTAGTGGAAGTATCACAGCTTCTACCTTGATTTGCCAGCTTTCAGGACAATCAATTTCTGCAGCTCTTGCTTGTTAAAGCATGTGCTTCCTCTGAAAGTCAATGGGAGACAATGCTGAAAACGTGAAAATATTGCAGGGATAGAGAGCAACATTTGTAGGAGGTGTGTTAGAGGGGATGGTCAGGACTATTTCAGAAAGGGTGTGGAAACAAAGGGTATGCATCATAAAAACAAAACTTTTTTGACTCCACTTCTCTGGAAGAAAACTGTCTTAAAATGGCAATCTGTTTTTAGAGGGTAGCTAGTGTTTAGGTTATCGTTTAGGTGCATATTCAGGTTACTTGCAGAGTAGTCTTAATGCTTAAAGAAAACATTTTGAGTGTGACAACTCCTGTGTCTTGTTTAGTTTGAGAACAGTCTCCTTTCCTCTTGTTTTGGTCAGAAAATGAAGCTGAATATACTGAAGACTTTTCAATTGGTTCAACTTTTGCTCAATTACAACTACAATTAGAAAACAAAAGCCAAGCAAGACTACTTTGTCCCTTTCTCTCATACCATCACTCAAATTAAATGTATATGATACCATAGAAACTGCATCATGGTTTAAAAAAGAAGTTCCTATACTCAGATAGTAATTATAAGTATAAATACTAAACCTCAGATCCTTTAAAAGCTACTGTCTGCGGCTTATGGCATATGGATCTGTTGAAATAGTTTAAACCCTGAAGTACAGGTAAAATGTGTAGCATTAGGTGAAGGAGAAGTCTTGAAGATCACAAGTAGAGATCAGGTGCTTTGTCTTTTCATGTGTACATACTACAAATATTTTGTAAAAGAAGTATTTGGTAATGAAATTGGATGCTGGTATTTGCTTGCCATGCTGTGACAGATGGTCTTTCAACTTTTAAGTATTTAGACCAGTACATGGTGCACCAGTCAGTTGGTAAAGCAGTTCAGTCTGGAACAAAAGATGTGCAGCCACACAGGTTTTTAATGGTTCTATGTATTAACAATTGTAAACTTAAATAGATTTTGAATTAACTTATTTTCTCTGATTAATTCGTGGTTGTTTGTTTTTTATAAGGTGTGCAAACAGATTTGGCTAGGCCTATTTGATGATAGATCATCAGCAATTCCAGACTTCAGGGATCCACAGAAAGTAAAGGAATTTCTACAGGAAAAATATGAAAAGAAAAGATGGTAAGATAGCTTTACATTTATAAAGATTGCCTCTATGACAAGAAGTGAAGATGGACTGTTATCCTCACATTCTTGTGTGCTTTCTTTCTTGTGTGCTCTTTGGACTAGATTGTGCAGCTCTGTAAAGTGAAATGTTTTCTGGACTTTTGTCAGAGCTGCTACAGGAAGCAGAGAAGATGAACTATTTAAATAAGTTTCTCTGTGTAGTTCATATTGATGGTGCAGAAATGGCTTAAGGGGATATTGACAACAGTGTGAAGTGAGGGGTTAGCAGGCTTTTATTAGGAGGTGGAAGACACGTGTGGTTTTTATTAAATAAGTGCTATAAAATATTGATTACTTAGAATTCTAGTCCATTAAAAAAAAAAATCTGGCTTATTTAAATAATGAGTATTTTGCAAACTACGGATAGAATTTGTTGCAGGATCAGTGGTTTAAATAGCAAAGCTGAGATCTGAGCAGAACTCTTTATGTTAAATTCGTAAAAAACATTGCTCTTTTTGAATGTAGGTATGTTCCTCCAGAGCAAGCAAAGGTGGTGGCATCAGTACATGCATCCATATCGGGGTCTTCTGCTAGTAGTACAAGCAGCACGCCGGAGGTGAAACCACTCAAATCTCTCCTGGGAGAAGCTGCACCAGCACTGCACTTAAACAAGGGCACACCTAGCCAGGTGAGTAGTGACAGAGATGTACATCGGGACCTTTTTAGTGGCAGGAATTCTTGCAATAGCAACTGTTATCTAATAATGTCATCACTAAAGACAACTTTATTTTACGTATTTTGTTGAAGTATACAGATATTTGAAGATCTGTTTCTAAGTAAAGCTTGTTTCTATTGACAAAATTGATTTTTCTTTTAAATGATTACTTTCAGTAAGCAGAATTTTCCAGTGCAGTTGACAAGTTTAATTAAGATTGTATTTTGCATAAATATTTCTAAAATTTTGAACCTAATGTGGTATATTTTAATGTTTGGGGATTTTATTTCAAAACAATAACATGGCTGATACTGTTAACTCTGAGATTAGTAGTGAATATGCAGATTAAAAGCATGCATGTTAATTCTGTAACTGTCTTAACAAGTGGCATTCAGGGAGTGTCTATGTGCTGTTTATATATAAAGCCAAACAATATGTACTTAAAGTTTGGGGGAAAAGAGTTTTTCTTAGAACTGTTTTTCTCAAAACTGTTTTACCTTTGGGGTACAGGCAACTTTTGAATGGACCTCTTAAGATGCAAACAGAAATTTGCTGCTTGCAGCCCTGATGTAAAAATCTTCAATTTTTCTCCCCCTGTACTGAATTCTGAAGACTTTTTCAGAATGCAGTGAATAACTATTTTCCAACTTGTAAAATTAAATTTTATTGCTTGCATTTGTACAATATTTGCAGTTTTAAATACATAATTTTGAACTTGCTTATATGCTGCTATTTTATTATTCTAGGTCCTATTAATCCATGGAAATCTGCTGCAGAGTTCTTTTAAAAGCCACTGTAGTAGCATAGTCTTCCTGATACTATAGGAGGAGGGTCTGTGCTATATACAGCATGTTAAACTTGAGGACTAAATTGCTTGTTAAAGAAATATACTTAATCTATCCTTCTAGTATTTTGCAAAAGTCAGTTTGGTAAAATATCAGGTTTTATTAGCTCATTGAAATGTTTTTTGTAGTCTCCTGTTGTAGTTCGATCTCAAGGACAGCAGCAACAAGAAAAGAAACAATTTGACCTACTCAGCGACCTGGGCTCAGATATCTTTGCTGCTGCTCCTACTCAGTCAACTGCTACAGCAAATTTTGCTAATTTTGCACACTTCAACAGTCACACAGGTAAGTATTCTGAGCAGTGTATCCCTTTTAAATGTATAAAATGTAGTTTTAATTTTTGATTACTTTAGTCTAAACTTAATGAAAGAAATGTAATTTCTGTGCCTTGAGAATATTGTATTGATCGAGATTTCCTTTAGATCTTTATAAAGAAAGGTTGAAGATATAAAGGCTGGTAATCCTGCTTTTTGAAGCAGGAGTTGCTATAGCTATTTTCTATGATACGCATCATTAGACTGTTTCTGCCTACTACTAGAACTTTAAATTCTTTGGGAGAGAGAGCAAGAGGATGAGTAACAGACTGCAGGGAGAAGCTGCTATTCGACCTTCGCTTTTCCTTCTGAAAATTATTAGGAGGAGCATTCATGAAAATTAAGCAGATATAGAGACTTTATAGAGGAGTTCAAATGCATTGACAGTAACTGTCAATTTGTTAAGAGAAAAACAAAGGCTTCCTCAGTTTAAAGGATGACCACCTCTTTTGTGTGTGTGTCTATTTGAAAACTAAATACTACCCATATGGATAGCATTCTGTAGTTTCAGGAGGAATAAACAAGCTTTGAGCGTGTGTCTGGACTGAGGGTGGGGGTAGGCCTTGAATTCTTGAAGAATGACTTCAGTAAAATATATTGAGCCCTCAGGGTTTATTTCCACCCTAAGATCTTGAGCCATAGAAATCTGTCCTAAAGAAAAAGTTGATTCTGTGGTCACTGAAGGATGTTGTTGCCAACTTGCATTGTAGTTGTGGGAAAAGTAGCTTTGCCTGTCTTGTCTGAATGGGCTTTGTCGTTTTCATGTAGCTTTTCTGAGAGAAACTGATGCTGCTAAGCCAACAAGAATAAGAGATACTTCTTGCAAATCAGTCCTGAAATTGTTAATAGCTGAGAGGAAGTGTGATGAAGGGGACTTAAGGCACACCTGAGGAACTGAGCAAAGTATCAAGGCTTTCTCAAAGTTAACTTTAAAAAAACAAAACAAAACTTGTAAAATAACCAACTGAATTCAGTAATACAGAATAAGAATTGCTGTTGCAGTGTATTTTGTAAAATCTTTAACATAAAATTTCTTGTTAATCATCTTTTTGGAGGTATATTTAACTGGGAGAACTTATGCTAACTGGCCAATGTTGTACTGTGTTACTGAAGAGGCTGCAGATATTTAATTAT